ATAGATTCTTTATATGTTGCGAAAAAACTGCCTCCGCCAGGACTTGAACCTGGAACCTCCCCACTTTCCGGGCGGGACGCCTTTCCATTCGGCCACCGAGGCTTCGACAGTCCTCTCGCAACACAATGTTTATAAATTCTCTAAGATGTAATATGCTGAACATATTATCTTCCCACTATCATATTAATATTAAATAAGTAGTATTAATATCTAATAGCACTAAGACATCCGTGCTTGCTCCTTACTGCCATTTTTCAAATCTTACTGTTAGTTATTCAAAGGAGCTTTCTGTAATTTCGGTTTATCTTAAATAGAAGCATTGGCGGAAGAATATACTATCTCTCTTGTATAATAATAACATCTCTTACGAGATCGTCTCACTCGACTTACATCTTAGAGAATTTATAAACATTGTGTTGCGCGAGAGGACTGTCAAAGCTTCGGTGACCGAATGGAAAGGCGTCCTGCCTGGAAAGTGGGGAGGTTCCAGGTTCGAGTCCTGGCGGAGGCAGTTTTTTCGCAACATATATAAGGAATTTACTTGAGGCATCGGTTTAATGGGGGTTTTGGGAATATAAATATATATATAAAAATTTGGGACTCAAGGATCGGTCTAAGTGTGGAAGATTGATTCGCCGCATACGATGATCGAAGAAATTTCGATACGTGCGTTTAACATGCTGGACATATTATCCTCTCACTATCATATTAATATTAAATAAGTAGTATTAATATCTAATAGTACTAAGTCATCCGTGCTTGCTCCTTACTGCCATTTTTCAAATCTTACTGTTAGTTATTCAAAGGAGCTTTCTATAATTTCGGTTTATCTTAATAAATTAAAACACTGGTAAAACGGGTAAACTATGATTGAATGTTTTTCACAATGTTTCTTCGATTTGTGGTAAAATAAGATGCATTACAATTTTCTAGAGAATCTGTACTACTTTTTAAATCCATGATCAACCATGATGTATTTGAAAGGATATTTTGCATCATAGCACTTTGGAAGTCGTGGGTACACAATTTTATAATCGTTATACGCGTTTCCAAATTTATTAAACGTAAAAAGCAATTCCATCATTATAAAAAATTATGTCATATATATACATGTCTTTCTTGATATACTTCCGTACATGAATTGGATGATACAAGATTTTCTTGAATTGGAAACTTTTCTTAAGACGAAATATAACGACTATTAATATATGCGTATCTGATCTTATTTCAATTATCGACTACTGAAGAATGCAAAACGATTATCAATATATTCTCAGTTGATATTTTTTGTTATTTGATTTTTTTTCAAAACCTCATCTTGAGATGGATCTTAAGATAGAAGTATTAAACGATATTATATCTTGAAGAACTCTTTCAATTAAGATTTTCAGTAGAAACACGACTATTAATATGAGTCTAACAAAAGGAGGACCAGGTGACTTACCCTGGGATTTCGACCCCAATTTTTTTAATTATTCTGGAGATGAAAAAAAAGATACGTGTCCCGGCGTTTGATAGAATAGGCTTTAGTTTCGGAGTAATAAATTTGTGAAAATTGGCCATATCCGAAGCGCATCGCGGCGCGCCATATGAGCCTTCCCGGTAACTGTACTTCCAACCAGTGAAGTTGGCTTCGTGAGTTAGGTGCTTGCTTCATAATTCGTAAGATCCAAGTTCACTCATGGAGGTGAGCAATAATTTTTTTTTAATGAGTGTTTTTATTTATTTTTATTTATTTTGATGATAATGATATAGTATGCAAATTTTTGAAATAGAAAATTTAATTTAATATCACATTCTAAACATTAATTTAAATTTAATTTTAAGGGAATTTTAATTCAAGTAATAATATTTGAAATAATAAATAACAATAATAATATATAAGTTATTTGTAATAGATAACATATAAAGGCAATGTATCTAAATTTTCAAATTGTTTAAATTTAAAACCGGTAAAAGAAGCGGATACAAAATGGTAAATGAACGAAAAGTTTTTAATTCCCTTGCAGGTATGTAGTCGGTTATAAAGCCGAAATTCTTTCATGTTTTGTCATCGTGAGGCTCCGTTACGTAAGATTGCTGGTTACATACCATTGGAAACAAAGATAAAAATTCTGAATATGGTAAGAGAACACCCCAAATGGAGTATACAAACAATTCATAAACGTGGAGGAAGTGCTCCTCAATGTAAGTGATTTGAAACGATGCCGCGCAGAGATCGAGCAAGGTGGTGGCATTAAAGAAAAATACGAGGCTATTAACAAATGGACCGTTGATCGTTTTCGCGAAGCCAAGGAACAAAAAAAAAAAACCAGTGACAACGCGGATGCTGCAACAATGGGCTTCCCAAGCAGCGGTACAACTTGAAAGCCTTAATTTTGTAGCGTCTCACACATGGGCAGTTAGTTAAACAGACCTTTCAGATTCGACAAAGTCACGCGATATATTAAATCGAGAAATGCTTTGGATATTCCAAATATATTAAAAGAAGCAGAAAAATTTCAAAAGCGCATAGCTAGGCAAATTTTAAAATTTGACAAAGATTATGTAATCAACACCGACCAAACCGGCTGTGAGTATCGAGTCGATATGCGAAGAATTTTATCTACCAAAGGCGAAAAAAGCACTGAAGTTTTTCTCGGAGATTTCAACAAAATCATCCACAGTTATACGGCGCAGTATGCGATAACTGCCTCAGGAAAACTGCTACCAAAAGTGTTCCTGTGCATGCAAGAGCCGAAAGGGGTGTTTGGTCCTTGTGTCTCGGCTGCAATCGACAAGTTATCAGAATGCTATGGCAATATACACGTCACCGCCTCGAAATTAGGTAAATTAACAAAAGATCACTTTAGCCAATTCGTTGTAAACATTATCAAACCATATTGCAACGACAACGAATTCCTGCTCATCTTGGACTCGTAGGGAGGGCAAACGGATCCAGCACATTTTAATAGTATTTTTACCGACGACGACGGAAATTGTAGTTCAACAGTGAAAATTATTCCACCTCATTGCACACCGTACTGCCAACTATGCGATGTGTATTTTTTTCGACAAATGAAAAACATCATCCGAAGAATCCAAAATTCTGTTGAAGTTTTACAACAAAACCGGCAGCTTTCTTCGCGAGAAGACGCAATAAAGATTCATTCTTTAATTCATTCACAATTATCATCGGGAGCTTTTACAGATATGATCAAGTACGCTTGGTTTGCATAGAAATTAATTCCTGAAAGAAATGTGTTTCGAAACGTCAACGAAATATGTTTTCCCCCGGACTTACGGAAAAATAAATGTGTATGTGATACTCGTTCATTTATTCATTGTGCAAACTGTAGAAAATTTATGTTTTAAATGTTTTTATGATGTTTATCATCCAAGTAATTATTCCGCATCGAAATAATTTAATTTTGTAATAAATCTGCAATACTTAAATCATTGAATTTTGTAATAAAAATATTCACATTCACATTTCAGATGTTTGTTTATTCTTCTTCTTCTACGATTAATTATTTTAAAAACTAGAAATTTAAAATACTATTAATATTATTTCCAATTAAATTTTAAATTTAAACAATTTGAAAATTTAGATACGTTGCCTTTATATGTTATCCTTTACAAATAACTTATATATTATTATTATTACTTATTTATTATTTCAAATATTATTACTTGAATTAAAATTCTCTTAAAATTAAATTTAAATTAATGTTTAGAATGTGATATTAAATTAAATTTTCTATTTCAAAAATTTGCATACTATATCAATATCATCAAAATAAATAAAAATAAATAAAAACACTCATTAAAAAAAAAATTATTGCTCACCTCCGTGAGCGAACTTGGATCTTACAAATTATGAAGCAAGCACTTAACTCACGAAGCCAATTGCACTGGTTGAAAGTACAGTTACCGGGAAGGCTCATATGGCGCGCCGCGGTGCGCTTCGGATATAGCCAATTTTCACAAATTTATTATTTCGAAACTAAGGCCTATTCTATCAAACGCGGGGACACGTATCTTTTTTTTCATCTCCAGAGTAATTAAAAAAATTGCGGTCGAAATCCCAGGGTGAGTCACCTGGTCTTCCCCTTGTAAGTAAAATTTTGCATAGCCCGAATTAGTTATTTTTCCAAACAATTAGATTGAAAACTATTAAAATCTGAATATTTTCATATTAAGATTTTTGTGTCAAAATATTTTTAGATATTTACTATTAATTTGCTATTCCGCGCGTCATGGAATAGAGCGTTACATATTCTATACCATAAATTCTATTATAAGTCTGTATTGCTAAATTCTATACATATTCTATACAGTTACGGTTCTATGCATACAGTTCTATACATAAAATTGTGGAGGAGAGTCTGGGACACCCTATATACAGAGTGTTCCATTTTAAAGAACCAATGTAATATCTCTTCAGGAATTTATTTTTGAGAAAAATGTCCTAGACGAAAGTTGTAAGGTTCGGAGGGGACCACCCATTAGTGACCTTGTCCTTGACCTTGGCGGCTATTATCAAAGTTATTTTAAGGTTACACTGATTTTTTTTAAATGGAACCCTATATTTTTTATTGTATGTTCTTGTAGCGTATCTCGAGAACTTTCCAAAATATACTATAACAATGTATTTTTTCATTAAGTACTTTCTGAGTAATAAAACTTAAAAGTTACAGTACCGCCGACATTAGCATTATCCAAAGTGTACCACGCGGAGACTGCTCAGTCGGATTTACTACACCTCTATATGTATGTGTGTGTATGTGCGTGCGTGCATGTGTGGTTGGGGGTGATGTGATGGTCTTCAGTCCCTATCTATTCTGTAACTTATCATCGTAAATATCCACCCATACATCCATCCATGCGCGCGCGCACGCACGCACACACACATATACACGAAAGAGGTATAAATCCGACCGAATAACCTCCGTGTGGTATACCTTCGGTGATGCTAATACCGGTGGTACTATAACTTTCAAGTTTCATTACTAAAAAAGTACTTAATGAAAAAATAGATAAAACTTCTGAACAGGGGACCAAGCTCTAATCATATTGACCTTGAGATATGTTGTCAAAGACATCACCCTAAGTACCCTTCAAAAAGTTTTAGTCGGCGCTCATTGTTTATTAAAAAGTTATTAACAAAAGAAGTTGCATAAAATGAGTGTAATTTTTGGATATCATATATACAAAAACAGCGAATTTGTTTGAAGGCTAGGAAGGTGCCAGCCGTACCCACGTACACACACACACACTGCTTGCCCGCCCGTGCGCTCGCCCGTCCTGTCGAGCGGGCGAACAGTGTGTGTGTGTGTGTGTATGTGCACGTTGTGTGCGATATAACTGAACGTAACACATTGTCGCAAGTGATATAATCTAACTTAACCTAAAATAACCTAAACTATTAGGTTATGTTACTCGCGTCAATGGATGCGTTCGGGGAGCACGCTACTAACGCTACCGCGTTCTTCTATCTTTATTGTTCCTTAGATATACAACAAAGATAGAATGACACGGTAGCGCTGAATAGCACTAATAGCGAGCTCTCCGACGCACCTGTGTCGTAATGTGTTACATTCAGTTGCATACGCACACACACACACACACACACACTGCTTGCTCGCCTTGTTGAGCGCGCGGGCGGGCAAGCAGGGTGGGTGTGTACGTGCGTACGATGGCACCTTCCTAGCCTTCAAACAAATCCGATGATTTTGTATATACGATGTCCAAAAATCACACTCATTTTATGCAACTTCTTATGTTAATAACTTTTTAATAAATAATGAGCGCCGACTAAAATCTTCAGAAGGTCAGGAGGGTGACCTCTATTATATATGTCAAGGTCATTGGAACTGGAGTCCCCTGTTCGGAAGTTTTACCAAAAAATACATTATTATAGTGTTTTGGAAAGCTCTTGAGATAAACTACAAGAATATGCAATAAAATAAAATATAGTTCCATTAAAAAAAAATTAAGGTGACTGCCCTGATCTTGGCCATCCAAAGTCAAATTGTTAAGATTAACCCCTTAAGCATCAAGTTGATTTGACTGAATGCTCCAGGAGTTAAGAAAAAAAGATCCTTCGATTTTTTTTTAAATTCTGTATCCAGGGTTTTTTTTGGATTGCAGAATATGAATACTTAATCAAAATTGTCAGATTCAGAATGGCGGACTTAATATGATGGACAAATTGTTATATAAGTCCATTTTTCGTTAATATATTTTTGCTCGTCATTGAATACGCCGTTTTGAACTTGTTAAAATTACAGATTCGTATTCCGCGGCTCAAAAAACTCCTAGACACCCGGTTTTAATGAAATAAATCAATTTTCGAATTATGTGAAATTTTTGTCTGCCATATTGGATTAGTTATTTTGAATTTGTCAATTTTGACCAAAAATACGTATTCTACGAAACCCTCAAAAACAAAGTTTAATAAAATTTTTGAATTATGTAATATTTTTCAGTCTGCCATATTGGATCCGTCATTTTTAATTCATCAATTTTGACCAGATTCTTATTCTACAACTCGGAGAAACTCTGTATATACACTTTTATAAAAATTGCAACTGCGATCTGCGAGAAAAATGCATTTGACGTAATATTGCGTCAATGCCCTCTGGGGCACGACGAAAATGTGCGCACTATTGCGTCAATGCCGCTCAAGGGATTAATAAATAGATGTTTTGAAACCCTACAACTTTTATCTGAAATATTTTTTCCTAAAATGCTAAGTTTTCGAGATATTTCGCTAGTCCTGGTACTTTTTATATATCCTGTATAATGTATAATTACGAATAAAGATTTTACACAGAGCATACTCTTCTTAGTTTGTAATAATATTACCTATATAACGACGTCTTGATACACAAAAACTGAACGTAGTGATACTGTTGTGTAGGCTGTGATTGCCTATTGAAAGAAACATCTAATCGTTCGCACAATGTCTCAATCATGGATGATCTCAAACATAAAAGTATATCTAGCCAATCCAATCCTGTTACCAAACAATATTCTAACAATGTACAGGCGTAATTCAATGTCATCGATGTACCTATAAAATAATGTAAATTTTGGTCATGTAATATCGAAGTTGGCGATTATATTTCATGGCTTTCCATCATTTAAATAAATCCCCAGATAGCACAGAGAAATTCTAAAAGAATTCAGTCGTATGCCACTAATTCCAAGTTCATTTTTTAAAAAATGCAATCTTTTGCATTTAAAAAATGCAAAAAGAATTCTTTTCACTAAACCGAACTTTGAAGAATTCTTTTTGCATCTGAAAATAAACTCAGAATTGGTGACATATGACTGAATTTTTTTGAATTCTTTTTCAATTATTTGTGTTATCTGGGTCTTTAGTTAGAAGACGAGTATGACATTGCTACAAGTAAATATAAATGTAAAATATAAATGTAAATGACAAAAGATAGATAACATACCTGTGGTGCCATCTGGTAATAATTTATAGAGATATAGATTACCATGGGTATCACATGCAAGAAGTACGCATCCTAACCACGAAATATCCATATGGGAGATAGATACTGAGCTCTTAAAATATTTGCTGTTAGGCTCGTCCTGACGCCAGCCCATATTTAAAGATGAAAACGTCACTTCTTTGAGACATTCTAACCGATTTAAACAATGTACTGAAGAATCTGCCAATGCTATTATCACATAACTCGGAGGTGGTAATGTTGTCACTATAGACAGTTTCGTAGTTGCTATTGCCGTGACTGGTGATTGGCAGCGATACTGCGATTGATACTGCCAAACCTATACAATACGATAATCAAGAATTAATAATAACAATAACATATAATTATGATATATTAGGTTTTCGCGATGTCCATGCATATTAGATTTGGTTTCCGAGTTTGAGCCGCGTGGATTCTTCTTTATTTGATTCCGACATTTCGCGAACATTTTAGTCCGCTTCATCAGGGAGGAACGACCCGAGGCATTGAAATGTTCGCAAAATGTCGGAATCAAACAAAGAAGAATCCACGCGGCTCAAACCCGGAAACCAAATCTAATAACATAATGTTTACCTTAAATGTTCATTCAATTTTTCGAAAAGTTCCAGATAATTCGAGAAACGTTTTAAATAATACTTTATTTGTTTGATATAAACTACAATGTTTAATTTAAAAAGTAAAAGTTTTTTTATTCATAAAAATTCAAGGTCACTATAAATATTTTAGATATAATAATTTAGAAATCTTTTTCTTCATAAAAATTCAAGGTTACTATAAATATTTTAAAAATAATAATTTTTATCCAAAATATATTGTAAGAGATATTCAAATAAATTTAAATATCTATGACACCATGACTTTGAGATGATTCTGAAGAAGAAAAAATATGTTGAAGTTATACTTCTTAATATATGCTTCTAGTTTTATAATTAGTTTTTATTTTTATAAGATTTGATTAATATTTCTGTCATTTTGCACATATATATCAATTTAGCTTCATCTTTTTTTCTGAATATATAAAATGCTATATATTTTTCATATTAATTAATTTTTTTTAAATCATCGTATCTAAAAAATCGTAGATACTGTTACAAGTGTTCAATATACATATACAATACTGAGTAAATCTGAAATAGATGGCCAAATCTTCAATATTCTATTGTAAGAATGATATCGTGTATAATATATGCCACCGTTCTTCGCTTCGTACGTTCACTTGACGCGAGACGCTGCCGCGTCTTTTGATATATTAAGTGTACAAATTAATTTGATGCTTTTTGTTTTTTTATGTATTCTTAAATTACTTAAATATTTCACCACATCATTGCAGATTTGATATCAATAATATTCTTCACAAAACACCTTGTAAGATGACAGAATGAGCAACATTAATGTAAAAAATATTAATAAACATATTGCCGATAATGTACATATTCATGGCATATTTTATCTCAATTGGAAAAAACATAACTGCTAAAGCTGCTGAAATACAGGTACAAGCAACTCAACCAATTGAATGATAGTTTAGAAAACAAAAGATAGATTTACTAAACAAAAAAACCGAAAAATTGTTTTTTACAGCATGATAATGTTTGACTGCACGTAACAAAAGGAATCAAAACAATGCATCTTTAATTTTTAGATTGAGAAAATGCGGTTTATTTGACACATGGTTTTTTCAGATTATTATTTCGATTGTTATAGCATCATCCGCGTCAAAGGTACATTTTAGAAAAATTTAAAATGTTAAAAATTACATAGATACTTTTATTGATTCAAAACCGTCCAATGTTTATCGAGATAGAATTTAGTAATTACCCGAAAGATAACATAAAGTCATTAAAAATAATAATGATTTTGATAATTGAAAATACAATACTCTTTTTATAAATTTTTATTTTTCTAAGAAAAAGTATTGAATTATTTATTATTAATTAATTTGTACACCTAATATGTACATGTATTAATTTATAATAAGAGCAATGGCAAAATTTAAATATAATTAAATACTTACAACCGTTTTAAAAGGTTCCAGGCTTTTTGGTTGGAAGAGCTTATGAACAGGCTGTGACTTTTCACGTAACTCCCATACCTCTACAAATCCGCCATTTTCGCTATTTGCTGCAATAACTAGAGAATCTGCATCTTCCCTGACTACGAATTTTAGATGTGTTACAATTGTACCTATGAACAAAATAGAGAACTTCTGATTTTAAAATGGAAGGCAAATTTTTTACCAGTTTTTAATTCAGTTTTTAATTGTAACTCATGGTTAATTTTAAGTTTTAATTTAAAATTTGAAATTATATTTAAAGTTTAAATTAAAGAATAAAAGAAGAAAAAGTTATAATTATTTATCACTTAAGAATTTTTCTACTATAATATTTCGATTCGTAATTTTTTAAACATTGTTCTTAACATATAAACAAATTTAATATAAAAATATATATTTATTTTACATGTATTATCTTTGGGTGCTCCATCTTGCAGAAAGAAACTAGGCAGAGCTTGTGAAGTAATAGTACATTTGTCGTCATTTCTGCGAACTAATACCCTGTAGCATCTTATCGGCAAGCAAATACTACCACTACTAACTGCAACGAGGAAGTGACCATCTAAAATTTATAAAAGTTTATTTTTGTAGCATAGCTATTATCTATTTTTGTAAATTATTTGTGTTACATAATAGACAATACTTTTTCCATAACATAAATCAACTGCAGTTATCCTATGTCTTGTACTACCAAGACTTTCTGTTGAGTAGCAAATTGGCACTTGTAAATCCTTCGTAATTATAATCGCACCGACCATACCCGTTGTTGATACTACCAGAACACCTTCAGCAGCTTTGCCACCAAATTGCCTCACAGAAGGTGCAAATAGGAGATGGTTAAATTTCTCACTGTAATGGAAACTATCCTTTTTTTCTGTTACCAGTCCTGTCTATAATCAATAAGAGTAATTAAAAAGCAATAATTAAAAAGCATTAAAAATAATTAATATACTAACAATCTAGTTAAATAATTTTAGAGTTATAAAGAAAAGCTTTTTTGTTTACAAAAGACTTGTCAAAAGTATCCAAAATTTATTTGATTATTAAAAAAAAAAATTGTTAAATATACAACAATCTGAAAGGCGTTTATTTTTTAATACCTACTCATTTTAAAGTTTAGTTAGTAAAATAATTCAAACAAGCTAATTCAATATAATTTATTACGAACAAATATCATTGAAAGCAATAAAGCATATGCAAAAAATATTAGGCAAATGTTCTACAGTATTTAATACTTTTAATAATTATGGCTCCAGATTTTTCAAAAATATCTATCAATCTTTTATATTTTTAAAAATATCTATCAATCTTTCATATTTTTCTTTATATTTCTACTTTTATCATTATTATTATTTTTATAAACATTAATTATTATTTATTAATATTATTTTTTATAAATATTTAAATTCTTATAAAAGTAAAAATTAAGAATTTCACACCTAGAATTTAAGAATTATTATTTATATAGAATAAAACTATCCCTGAAATTATGTTTTTGAAATAGTTGCTAATATTATATGCTATTATAACATACTATGCATAAGACATTATAAAAACAATAAATAAAAACAATAGATACATTTAGCACATATAACATATATAGCATATATAACATATATAGCACATTTTTATATCAGTGCAGATAGCACAAAATTTGCAATTGATAGAGTAAATTGAGATTTTAGAAAACAATTTTATGAAATACAATAAATTTGACGTAAAATTTTATTTAAATTTTCGTCTTACATAAACTTTAAAGTTTTCAAAAATATTAATAAAGGTAAATATATGTTGAAAAATGCAGTTATGAAAAATCTGAGCATAATTATTAAAAACATTGTTATTTATTAACACATTGTAATCCGCGATTCATTCGGAACCATTATACTCTTTTGTTCCAGATATTGAAAACATTACATGTATTTAGGCACATATTTTTCAATGTTTTTTGATTATTCTTAATATCAGATATTCTTCTTAATCAGATAGCCTAATATTAAAAAAATTGCTAAATTTAAAGTATTTAGATTTCTTTAAAATTTATGTTTTTAATCAAAATATATGTATTTAATAAGAAAATATATTTATATATTGATAAAATGGATGTTATTAAATTGTGACAGCTTGAAACTATAATAACAAACCATAATATCAAAATGGAAAATTGTGTTATTGCTAGACTGCAAAGTGTTAAGTACCATATAAATATTTTATTTAATACTTTTTTCTATATATCTTATGCTTTAGAGATATTCATTCAATTAATTTTATTGAATTAACTTTGAGGGATTGTCTTTATCTACTTTAAATCACAAACTAAACATAAATGGAAAAAAGTGTCATAGATTTATATCCGATAATATACAACATTATTTAATAATATTTCAAGGAATATATCAATTTTGATTAAGTCCCTTGTCAGTATAATCAATTAATTTATATAAATACCTTTTTGCCATTATGGAACCAAGATACACCTAATATATGTTCACCAGGAAAGCAATTGGAACCTATTAAGATCCAATCATTCAAAACATGGTCCTTCAACATCCATAACTGTACATTTCCAACTACATCAGCCACTACTAATTTGTCACCAGGTAGATCCCATTCTAATGCAGTAATACTGTGTTTATTTGAAAAGATTCTGCAAATATAAAATACAATTTTATAATTTCATAATTGACTTTCGTGTATTCTTAGATCTTTTCCTATCTTTTTAATATATTTAGATCATAAATTTGATTAAAAAAAGTATTGAATGACAAATGATATTTTAAGTAATATTAAGAAAATACTTTTTTTTTTTTAAACTAATACCTACTTATGAGTATGCCATGGCATATTCAAGTCTGTTACATAAACATGACAACCTCGTGTTTTGCCAATATTGTCATCTAACTCTGTCATTGTAGTAAACACTGCTATGTTTCGACTTGATAAGGAACATAAGGACTGTCCATCATATAAACTAAAAAATTAAAATATATATTAGATTAATATTTCTTAAATGTTGCAGAAATTGTACCATTGTTATATTTTTATAAAAAAACATACCAATCTTGATTAGAGAAAGACTTGGAGGAAGTCTTTCTGTTAACGGTATACAGTAGATCCATTTGTGTATATTTTAAATAAAATTATATATTTAAGCAAAATATCACCCACATTTACACTATATTTTTCTTATTTTGCTAACTTCTAAGGCAATTAAAGACAACTAATTAAATCAATGTTATACCACTATTTCTTACGAAATCTGCAAATAGGAATATTTTTTTTTAATATTTAGCAATTTTGTTGATGTATCTTCAGCCTTTCCTATGGAATAAAATGGTTATATCACACATTATTTCTAATTTTCTAAACGTGTTAATTTTGCTTAATTTTCCTTTATCTTTAATTAAGTATTCTTTATTTATAGATCTTTTTTTCCGATTTCATATAGTTGATTCCACATCTTGTTTTTCTTTTTATTTTACTTGGACTCAGACTTATCTCTATTGCCTTTTCATTCAAGACATCGAAGCACGAATTCCAAAAAAAATCAGGTCCAAACGTGTTCGAACACGTTTCAACGTTACTTGATTCCACATTCAAACAAAAATTTGTAGGTTAAAGGCTTCCGCACTGGAACTACACTGGAACTGCACTTCAAGACTTCAAGAGTCTATTTTCTATTGCTGCACTGCTGAACTGGTGCAATAAGTTAAGCCAGCGGAACACGGTGCTTGTTTTCGTGCTGGATAGAAATACTGGGTGCTTTCCAATTGCTTAATGCACACAGGACGCGATAATGCTTGCCGCGTCCTGTGTGCAGGAGCCATAACACATCTTGACACAACGTACATAAACCAGTTTATTGGTCACATATTATCTAAAATATCTTGTAAGATAATAAGCAACCAATAAAATGGTTTTGTGTAACACAGTGTACGCAACTGGAAAGCACCCACTCTGTTTTGATTAGTGTATTTCCATCCATCATCAGAAATGCACCAATCAGCAAGCAATCCAACATGAAAACAAGCACCGTGTACCGCTGGCTTTAGAGTCAGTCTGTTCTTTTCAGCTGCACTTCTAAACTGGTGCAATAAATTAAAGTGAGATAAGTATATGTTTTCTCACTCTAACTTATTGCACTAGTTCAGCAGTGCAGCTGAAAAGAACAGACCAAGTGAGAAAATATATGGTTGTTTCACTTTAACTTATTGCACCAGTTCAGTAGTGCAGCAACACAAAACAGATCCCAAGACTTCAATAGATAGCTAAGTGCACTTGACTTTAGTGACTACGCCATTGCTCTGACCAATAAGCCTATTCTCTAATGGCTCCTGTAGACCTATTCTCCAACTTCTTAACGACAATATCATTAGCCTAAAATGTCGTTACGGAGATTTAACGACACTGTAACGAAAAATGGTATTCTGTAATTTTTCTTAACGATAAATATCATTAAAAGTGTCGATAAAATATCGAATTTTGTCGTTAAGAGATCGAGGAGTATGGGACTTCTCGATAAACAATAACGACAATATAACTAGGTATAACGATGCTCCAAGTAGTAGGAAAGTGTGGCTCTACGTTTGTACATCGGCTCTACAGTTGCCGACTATTGGCTCTTTCTTTCCTTAATTTTTGTATTTTTGTATATACCTTCCCACATAGCAGAGATGTCTAAAATATATCATAGGGATATCCTAAAGATATATTTGGGATATATGATATCTTCAAGATATGTATTATGTAAGATAATGTATTTGGGACATTCTTGTTGTGTGAGTTTGATTTATAATCTTGCCATGTCTACAAAAATATTAAAAAAACAATATTAAAAATGTATTAATATAGTCATATATATTTTCAATCTTTTATATATTGATTAAACATAGAGTTATTACACACACACACACACATACACACACATACACAAATATATGCAACTATTTGATATTAACTGTATTGGTCCACATGTATAATAAGTATTTTGCTAACAACATGTATGAACATAATCTAAAACATGATCTGCAAACATTATATTAAAAAAAATGTTATATATGTTTCGAAGATTAATATTATATATACAATTACATTTTTTCATTGTGATACTTGTGTATCACGTTTTATTAGATTATGTCGATATACTTTGATGACAAATTACGATTTTAATATAAGCTCATATAGTTGATGCCAAATTAATATTTGATTTAATCTTCTTGTGTATTATTTATTTTACATATACTTTGACGTATTTTGGTTAACTGTCACATATAATTGTTGACACAGCCAATATTTGTATTTACTGCTCCTAAACTCAATGAAAAAGATACTGTTACGTCCACGATAAATAACTATATAGGGAAATTTGAAAGTAGTGAAATCAGTGACGGTCAACAGAATGATGGCTCCGCTTTTGGGTCACTCTGCTTTTCACCGAGTTTACCCTGGGTCTCGGGAGCCTGGCGAAACGATTGATGAATCTGGCGGAAAATCAGCGGTGCTTGTTCTTCTGGCTCGGCCTCGGATGTTCCGATACCACGCGGGTTGATGCGGCCCGCGATTCAGAATTTGATTTCGCAACGTTTGAAATATGAAGGGTAGGCAAAGTAATTGCAACACAGTCGGATTTTACGACTAAGTATAATATGCTGAATAAGTACACGAAGCTACCAGAGACTAACTATGAGAAGAAAATAATTATATATATATTGCCTTCTCTACAAATGCGCGCGCTTTTATATGTCGCTTTATCGCTGAGAGTCGTTCTCTGATTGGTCCATGGAGTTATGGCGAGGGAAGAGATTCATTCCTTTGCATGATGTCACCGCGTCGGTGTCCTGAGTGATGTTTGGGATTCAGTTTTCATGCTCCTGTTTATGTTGGCTTGCTCATGTTTATGTTGGCTTATCGCACTGAGCGATAGCGGTTTCTTTGGGTCAATCCGTTGATTTCGAGACTCTCCAGCAGCACGCAGCATTCGGTATTTTAATTATAATGTTTTAACGCTCGCGAATATGCATATGCGCACGTACTTACATCTAGTAACATAGGGATAAAATATCTAGTGATGTCTGAAATCAGACAAGTCGGCCTCCCGGTCTATAATAATATATTGTTAATGTTCTAAAATAGATCCGGACGTTACACCACACAAGGAAAAGAGATTTGATTGGCTGAATACTTCAGCAGTGAAGTTATATTGAACTGAATATACTCGTTTCAGTAATAACATCGGTATCACATTTTGTATCGATACGGTATCGCTAGCTTGAGTTACAGAATAGCTTTTTCGTTACAACGGCGTTAGCGCAAGCGACGATCGTCGCTACGTAACGATAATGACGTTGTCGTTAGAAAGTTAGAGAATAGGCTTACTGAGCTGCGTTTGGAAACGTCACTCGAATACTCTCCCTCTCTTTTTATCGCACTCTTGTATCTCGCTCACTCCAACGTAACGGGTACACTTGGGTGACGTTTCCGAACGCAGCCCTGCATACAGGACGCGGTAATGCTTGCCGCGCGGCGGAAATTCGCGTGACAGCCAATCAATATGCTGTTTTCCGGTAATAACCTTCTAGCTCTTACGGAAAAACAACATATTGATTAGCTGTCGTGCGAACTTCCGCCGCGCGGCAAGCATTACCGCGTCCTGTGTGCAGAAGCCATAAGGCTGATATTTCACATATCGTACGACAAGCTTTTTGTATATGTTCATTGGTTGACGAACAGAGAACCTAGAAATACTCTATTTGCCAACCAATAAACGTATCCGAAAAGCTTGTCGTATGACACGTGAAATAGCACCCTAACTTTCTAACGACAACGTCGTTATCGTTACGTAGCGACGATCGTCGCTTGCGCTAACGACGTTATAACGAAAAAGCTATTCTGTAACTCAAACTAGCGATACAAAATGTGATACCGACGTCGTTACCGAAACGAGTATATTCAGTTCAATATAACTTCACTGCTGCAGTATTTAGCCAATAAAATCTCTTTTCCTTGTGTATCTTTTTCAGTGAGTTTATGGTAAGAGCAATAAATACAAATATTTGCTGTATCAACAATTATATGTGACAGTTAACCAAAATATGTCAAAGTATATGTAAAATAAATAATACACAAGAAGATTAAATCAAACATTAATTTGGCATCAACTATATGAGCTTATATTAAAATCGTAATTTCCCAGATAGCATAGAGATGAACAGAAGTTCCTAGAGAATTTATTTTAAAGAATAGATATAGAATTAGAAAAAATGAATACCCAAAGAATTCTTGAAGAATTGACCACAGTAAGTTCGTCTTGAAATATTCTTTAGGACTTCATTATAGCGAATACTTCGTAACTTAATTTCTAGAATACTTTGAGAATTCATGAGGAATTAAGGCTAAGGCAGAGAACAAGACGTAAGCGTCGCAATCGTAAAGCCCATTCTACAATTGCGTGAACGTGGTTGTAAGTGGTTGTAAGTGATTACGACAACCTATCAAAGTAAAGCCCATTCTACAATTGCGTGAACGTGGTTGTAAGTGGTTGTAAGTGATTACGACAACCTATCAAAGTAAAGCCCATTCTACAATTGCGTGAACGTGGTTGTAAGTGGTTGTAAGTGATTACGACAACCTATCAAAGTAAAGCCCATTCTACAATTGCGTAAGCGTAGTCGTGAACGTAAGAGTCAACCAATCCGAATGTTTTAAGGGACTTCTACATGGAAGTAAATAGCAAGAAGTAGGAAGTAAGAGTAAGAAATTGACCAACCACAGTCGAATGTGAGAAGAATAATTAACTATAATTGGTCAATTTCTTACTCTTACTTCCTACTTCTTGCTATTTACTTCCAATGTAGACGTCCCTTTATTCACTGATTACTTTACTCTGATTGGTTGTCGTAATCACTTACAACTACTTACAACCGCGTTCACGCAATTGTAGAATAGGCTTAAAGCAATCAGTGAATAAAACATTCGGATTGGTTGACTCTTACGTTCACGACTACGCTTACGCAATTGTAGAATGGGCTTAAAGTAAGGCAGAGAAAAATATAAGCGTAAAGGAACGTCTACATTGGAAGTAAACAGTAAGAAGTAGGAAGTAAGAATAAGAAATTGACCAATCATAGTTAATTATTCTTCTCACATTCGACTGTGGTTGGTCAATTTCTTACTCTTACTTCCTACTTCTTGCTATTTACTTCCAATGTAGACGTCCCTTAAGGCTAATAGCTTTTCATGATTTACGTTTACGTTTTTCTCTGCTTTATTTTACGTCTACGACTATGATGCTTATGTCTCGTTCATCTGCCTTAGCCCTTACAAATGTTTTGTTTATAGCAATTACTTTTTGCGCCTATATTCAGTACATGCCACTGAATGTATAATAATTAATTTACATATTTACATATAAATTGTTTAATTTATTGTTATTTGCAGTTATTTATATTTTGTGGAACTAATTATATAGTTTTATATAGTAGGGCAAAGAGAGGAAATTGGTATTAAAATAACTTTTGATATATAAAATTTTCACCTGTATCAATAATAAATATATTTATGCGAAGTATCCCACACAGCAGAAATGTCCCAAATACATCATAAGGATATCTTGAAGATATCACATATCCCAAATAAATCTTTAGGATGTCTCAATGATACATTTTGGACACCTCTACTGTGTGGGATATTTTATCCTTAAGTTTGTATTCATGTTTCTAAAATCCATATATAGTTCTAACAAACTCAATCGCATTATTTGAAAGCCATTTATTTTTGGATTTTGAATTTGTATCAGAAAGTCCACGTGATTTAGCGGAAGTTCTGTTGACCGATATGACCTCGCACGAGGCCCGGTGGCGTGAGGATAGGGCGATCCAGTGGTGTGACAACAGATTGACTCAGTCTCGAGATAGTTAATAACAAAAACTTTATTCGGTTGCCCAGGATCGTCTGAGCTTGTCGATGGTTACAATTCGCGATCTTTACCGCGGACGCCGGAAATCTGCAACGCGGTGATCTCTTGCCGTCCCCGAGCGCGCGATAGAGCACACTTCGTTAAGAGGAGAGTTGCACGAATCGCGGCTTCCGACGCGATGGTCGCGACTTGAGGTTACCGGGAGCGGTGCACTTGGACACAGTGCATTTGGACAGAGCCAATCACAGCACCGTGTGATTAGAGACATTTGTAGAGTCCCTTGGAACAGCGACTTGTGATTGGACTGTGTCCAATTGCCCCGTGTCCAACTGATATACACCCGAGGTTACCGATACCGTTGAGAGTCGCCCGAGCGAATTCTTATACTGAGAGAGATGACTCGGGCACCACTATGCAAACTGCGGAACGTCGATCAAAAAGCAACAAGATGTAGAAGAAAAGAAGCTAGTAGCTGTTGTGAGCGGTGTCTAATATACCCTCTCGGTTGTGCTCTGTCGCGCGCGGATTGGCGGTGCGAGAATCGCGAGATCAACGCACCGCTTGATTTCCTTAAAAGGAAATAAAGCGTTGATATGCGGAGGTCCGCGGCGCGTGACGGCTGACGATTCGTGGAATTACTGTTTATTTCGCGGTTGCTATGTCAACGTAAACGATTGTTTGACGTGGCGAGCTGATTATCCGGCAAGCGTCGCGGACCCGTGTGTTTATGTGTCCTTGCGAGCAATTATTTGCGAATAAATATGCTCGAGTTTCGGAACAGACGTGTCACTTATTTCTCTTGGAATGTTATGAAGTTGACTCAATATTATCCTTAAAACTCATCTGCTCCGAATCCCGAACATATCGCCCGCCTTGAAGCGACGGCTTCAACGTAGAAATACACGACGGAATATATAAATTAAGAATCGCCGCTGGGCGCTGCAACGCTATGCTGACGGCGGCCTCCATTTCGAATTGGCCCGTTTGAGGAGGTCGCAGCGCAGTGGACCGGCAAAGGACAGATCCGTCCAATCGGTCGCTTGTATTCTGACGTTGAGGTTTTAGCTGTGACGACGCGTGTCAATCCGTCGTCGCCAGGGTGGCACTGTATTATGCGTCCGAGTTCCTACTTACTCGGCGGCAGATTCGGATTTCGGAGAAGCACGAGCTGTCCCGTTTGAATCGAAGCTTGAGCTTGCCGCCACTTGCTCCTTTGTTGCAGCGCGTTCACATAGTCGCTGCACCATATTCTCCAAAATCGCTCCGTCATTTGCCGGAGAAGTTGCCATCACGACAAGCGATTTTCGTTTAGATTAAGTAGAGAAGGTTCGGGGCTCGTCGTGATTGCTGACCCGATTAAAAAATTACCTGGCGTCAGGTTATCGAAGTCGTCGAGAGTGTCGGAGAGAGGAGCAAGCGGCCGAGAATTCAAACAAGCTTCGATTTTACATAATAATGTGGTGAATTCTTCGAAGGTGAGGGTATGATTCCCCAGCACGCGACGCAAATGTGTTTGACGCTCCTAACACCGGTCTCCCACATACCGCCGAAATGAGGCGCCGATGGCGGAATGAATGCCACTCCACGCTGTTTGAAGCGATGCGGTTTTGGAGATTAGGATCGCGAACGGCGCTCCGATAAGCGATCTGAAGCTCGCGACAGGCTCCGACAAAGGTAGTGCCGTTATAGGAGTAAATTGATCGCGGAAGCCCGCGGCGAGCGCAAAATCGGACATACGCATTGAGGAACGCTTGAGTGGAATAATCGCATACAAGTTCTAAATGAATTGCCCGGGACGCTAAACATACAAAAAGGGCGATATAGGCTTTCCTTGAACGGATACCGCGTCCAGCAGACGCACGAACAGTAACCGGTCCGGCATAATCAAGCCCGCAGTGTATGAAACTGCGTGGCGGCGCGGTCACGCGAACAGCGGGAAGGTTTCCCATGAGTTGCGTCGGAACGTTCGCGCGTTCGCGAACGCACGTGATGCAGTTATGAACAATTGCTTTCGCGATTGTCCTCGCGCGAAGGACCCAGAATTCACGGCGCAAAATAGATAAAGTAAGCTGAACACCGGCATGGAGACCGCGCAAATGGGTTTGCTCTACAATCAGCGTGACGAGAGGATGACGCGCGAGCAAAATTGGATGTCGCGAAATCGACGGAGAGCTAGCGCGCTGAAGTCGCCCGCCCACGCGCAATAAACCAGAGCGGTCGAGATAAGGTCCGAGCGAGAGGATCGGACTTTTGGTCGACAGACGTCGTTGGGTCTTAAGTTCGTGGATCTCCATCGGGAAAAGTTCGTGCTGAATTCGCTTAAGCCAAAATAAGCGCACCGTTTCGCACTCACTGGCTGATAGGAAAGGAGGGACGCGATCTGTGCTCTTGCTATTTGGGACAGTGCCTCGACAACGTTTTATAAAACGGAAAATGTAAGCGGTGACGCGAAGGAGTTTCGGCCATGAAGAGAATCAGGCAGATAAATCCCAGGAGGGGGTTGAAGGAGAGGATGATAAAGCGTGCACTTTCTCCTCCATAGGAACGATGTCCGGAGGAGGATTAGAACAGCGAGGCCATTGATTACGCGGCAGAGACAACCACGTCGGTCCCTGCCACCATAATGAGTGAGAAATCAACTCTTCACCATAGATGCCGCGGGAGGCGCAATCCCCCGGGTTGTCGGCCGTAGCGATGTGCAACCAGTCAACGCCTTGAAGGCGATGTTGAATATCAACCACCCTATTTGCAACGAAAGTTTTCCATTTCGAAGGATGTTGGCGGAGCCATGCGAACACAATAGTTGAGTCCGACCAACAGAAGCACGGAAGGTTCGCGATCGCTAAAGTAGACTAACAGATTCGAGAAGGCGCGCAAGTAGAGTTGCGCCTAACAATTCCATTTGAGGGATACTAATAGTTTTGAGTGGAGCGACCTTTGATTTTCCTTGTAGTAACGTAATGGTGACTCGATCAGAAGGATCGATGACTTTCAAATATACGGCCGCGGCATATGCGACGTTTGAAGCGCCCGAGAAACCGTGGAGCTCGTGTTGACAATTTGGCATGAATCCGGACCACCGAGGCACCCTCAAATCGCTCAAGCTCGAGATTCCAACACAGATGCGCTGCCATCGCCTAAAAGTATCGTCGGCAACATGCGCGTCCCAGGAAACACCGGATTTCCAGAGCGTCTGCATAAGAACCCTAGCCATGAGAATAACAGGAGTAACCCATCACAAGCGCGCGATTGCGGCGAGAATGGAATGTTTTGTGCGAGGGAGATCCTCGGACATTGAAACGCGAACTTGAAAGGCGTCGAGCTCCGGGTTCCAGTCGATACCGAGAATTTTCAACTTGTCGTGACTAGATAACGATTTGTGGCACGCGATACTGTGATCGGTTGTATCGATATCCGAGAGTAGCGCGGCCGAATTGCTCGCCCACTTGCGCAACTTGAACCCCCCGCGATGTAAGAGTGCATTTAATTGATCGCGCGTTTCGCGGAGAGTCTGCTCGTCGTAATACCCGAACAACACGTCATCGACGTAGCAATGATCGCGTAGGATGGGAACGGCTAAAGGAAACTGAGAGCCTTCGTCTTGAGCTAACTGACGCAAAATGCGCAAAGCTAAAAAGGGCGCACAAGCCATTCCGTAAGTGACTGTGAGCAGCTGATATTCAATGACGGGATCGAGAAGCGAATGGCGCCATAAAATTCGCTGATAATCAGCATCGCGTGCGTCCACCAAAATTTGCCTATACATCTTAGCTATGTCGGCCGAGTACACGAACCGAAACTGCCGCCAACGTAAGATGACGGCGGATAAGTCATTTTGCAATTTAAACCCCGTTAAAAGATGATCGTTGAGGCTCGTACGATTTGTCGTAAGGCTAGAGGCGTTGAAAACAACGCGCAAATGCGTGGTGATGCTAGAATCCCGAAAGACGGGATGGTGAGGGAGATACACGCACTGTGTAGAGGGTTCCCCAGTGGCCACCCTGCACAAATGGCCGAGATGCTCGTACTCCTCGATGAAGGCGCGATACTCTTTTAAAATCTCAGGATGCGACGCGGACCGACGAAACAGAGCATTCAACATGTGCTCAGCTCGAGCCCGAGACCTACTGATGTCGATCGGAGGACCGATCCGAAACGGCAGACGAACAATGTACCGCCCTGAAGCGGAACGAGAATGGGTGGACTGAAAATGAGTCTCACATCTCTCTTCTTCGGGAGTAACTAGCGCACGAGAGGAAAGACCCTGAATTTCTCAAAATCGCTTGATTTCCTCTTCCAAAGAGGGGGAATCGGTGCAATGATGAGCGGCGACGCGTTTCGGCCACTGCCTATCTCCCCGATCAGGTGCGGAAGTGGATGGATCTGGAGAGGAAGAGGGAAGCGGACCTGATATGATCCAACCGAAGATGGGATTCTGTGCGACCGGCTCGCCGAGAGCATCCTTTCGCAAGCCCTCGACGATTACCTCGCCATATAAGTCCGCTCCAATGATGAGATGAATCGATTCCGCGCTCGTCGGATACGAATCCGCCCAATCTAAATCGGCCAGGTGAGCCATCGAGGCGATATCCGCCACACTGTGCGGAGCGTATGACGTCAATGATCTTAAAATCAAAGCGGTAGTAGCGAGTGCTGGAAATCTCGAGTGTCGCGGTGGGATAGAGATTCGAGCGCCATACTGAACGGTTCCGGCATCATCCGACGGCGGACACCGTCGTCGGCATACACTGGCGTTTTATCCTTAATAGTTGAATGAGGTGTTCCGAAATGAACGACATTTCGGAACCTTGATCTAATAAGGCTCGAATCTCGACAGCACGACCATCGATTCCAACAACACGAACGCGCGCGGTCGCCAAAAGAACACGGTCCGGTTTCGATCCTCTTGGAGAGGCTAACATTGATTGAACTTCGCGTTTAGATTCGTCGCTCGGATTCGATCGGCTCACGGAAGAATCCGTCGGCACGGAGTGCTCAGATCGCGAGCTCGTGTGAAGCATGGAATGATGTCGTTCGCGACAAGACCGACACGAATATTTGCTTGAACATTCTCAAACTGAATGATTTTGGCTCAAACAATTGAAGCAACGTCCATGCTTTTTCACGAGCTCGCGCCGCTGAACCGGAGTGCCCTTCTCGAAGATTGGACATGCACTGAAATAATGCCGAGCTTTACAAAGCGGACAGAGCGGGTTCGCGGACGCAGTCGCGACGGTAACTCTTTGAGTCGGCGAAGATTTATTGCCCAATTTGGCTGAGGAGGCACATGACACTTCCTCGAGCGCTCGCGATCTGTTGGCGAGGAAACGTTCTAACTCGGAAAACGACGGAGGATCGTCTTGATTAGCGGTTTTTAATTTCCACGCCTTTCGCGAAACAGGGTCGAGCCGTTGCACAACGAGATGCACCAACATGTCGTTCCACAAATCCTCCGGTAAGCGCGACAGCCGATTGAGCGAAGCGACAGCGATGTGAACGCAATCGCGCAGTAACTGAAACTCAGTCGCGGATTCACGAGAAACTGCCGGAAGATTTAGTAGCGAAGATAAATGCAACTGCAAAAGGCGTCCTTTATTTTCATAGCGGGCGACCAACGCCTGCCACGCTATATCGAAATTAGTCGCCGTCACTGAAAGGCTACTGATGCAGTCTAAGGCGCGACTTTTCAGACACGATGTCAGAAAGTGTATGC